TGTGAAAGATGAGTTCAAGTTCAAACACATATCCTGTAGTTATTTACCGCAATGGGAGGCAATTTGAAGGTCCTAATGGTGTCTGATTTGAGGGAAAAACAAAAACAATAAAAATCAAAGTGGGCACTACATACAATGAACTGAAGGAGAGAATTCGTCAAAAATTAGGGCTACATGGCAGCCAATCCATCTAGCGTATGATAGCCATGTTAGAGACTGTAATTGATATGGATACAATATACTACATTGGTAACGATATCAATGATGATGAAGAGATGGAGTTGTCATAGATGCATTTGTTGAGTGAAAAATATTAAAATTTATTGAGATATATGTTGAAGTTGATGCTGGTCAATCTTCATTTTTACCGATGCATACAAAATGTAAAATGTAAATAACAGTTAAACTATATTTGGGAACTTGAAAGGTACCCACAAGCGAAGATCATAATGCAAGGTTAGGGTTGATCAAAAATTAAAAACTAAAAAAAATACCTTTCTTCATTTTCAATCGGTTGAAAGCAAAAACGGTGGTGGACGAAGGATGATCGTAGAGGCAGAAAATTGTTCACCCAGTGTGTTGAAGGAACAAGTGATTTCGCCCTTTTTGCAACTGTACTCGGGTATCTTTTTTGTGAGTTTTGAAGAATGGAGGCTGCTAGGTTTTTAAAAAACCCTACCCGTAATATTTACCAGGATATCCCCCTTCCTACTCGGGTATATAATTCATACTATTACTCAGATCATGAACAATACTCGGGTAGCCCACCGGGTGCTCGATTAGTATTGTTTTTTCGAAGGATACTAGGGTAACCCCCTATGTGCCCGGATATTGTACGAGGTCAACAATCAAATAGAGACAAATGAATGATATGTTTTAGTAGAGGAACAAAATGATAATTTTTTATTAATTGAAAGCCAAAAAATCAGAGCCCATATAAAGGGGACTTTTTTTATATCTATATAAAAGAGATTTTATTTTCTATAACACACAAAAAAAACATTAATTCTATATATACATATATAAAAACCTGAATGGTCCTACCGTCGCAACTCCCAAATAAAGTCCAAGATATAGCACGATGTTGATTTGCTTCAATCTTACGACCGTACGGACTCGTGATGATATTTCTATGCTTAGCCTAAATCTAACCTGTAATTATGAATCGTAACATTGTGAGGATGTATTCTATTCTTACTCATCTCTTTTAACGGCGTTCTTTTATCGTTAGTGCAGGCTTTATACTTGAGTTACTTTTTCTTTTCTCTTTTTAATTTTTAAAGCTAAGCAACACTTGAGGTCATTACTCATTAGTTTGGATGAATGCTTTCTTTCATAATTTGTACGGCATTCATTAGTTTTGTTTCTATTTAAAATTATTCATAAAAAAACTATTTGCTAAGATTATTAATATAAAAATATTTTAAGGAAAAAATATTTATCTTTTTAAAAGGCATAAAATTGTGTCATTTTAAGTAAAAAAATATATAAATTAATATTTTTTATTTAAAATTTAAATTTAAAAAAAATTATCAACTTTCTTTCATCATGATTTTTATTGTTTGTGTCTTTCTCTCATTTAAAATAATAATTTTTTATGTTTTTTAAAAGGACAAACATCAAATCCATATTTAAATAATATAATTTTAATGTACTGTTTTTGTAAAAATATTAAACATAATTGAAATACATTGCAGAATAGAAAAAAAAATTACACCATTATCCAATGATCTATTATTATATCTTATAAGGAATCTAACGTTTCATGTATGGTCAAACTCATTAAATGATGTCATTTGACGATAAAATAAATTTTTTTATCACATTGATGGGGTATCAAAATTTAACTATTTTTTCTTTATATTTAATTACATACTATAATTACGTCCTTTGACAAATTTAACATTCTGTGCAATCATTCAAACAATTAATTTATCAAATAAAAAAATTTAGGAGATCAATTTTCCAAATCTTAAAACAAACAACATTTTAGGAATTATAAGAAAAAAAGATAAGTATATTAAAAATTAAAAAATTAATTTAATCAAATGTTCGTTTATATTAGATAAAAACGTTAAAACAAATACTCTGATTTAAATTTTCAGATTCATGGGATCTGACAAACACCCCTGATACTAAGAACATGGGAAATGAAAATTCTTAGACAGATACAACTCAAATCTAATTGGAATGCCCTTAATAGCCATTGCCCAGTGAAGAAAAAAATACTTATCTAGGGAAAATATACACGAGGTGGGCACCATTGAATACCAATAGCAGTTACGGAGCAGAAGGGTCCATGTGAAAAGGTCCAGGGTCCGTCTGGTCAAAACCAAGGACCCACTTAAATTTTGAGTAGAAAAAGTGCTACAACATAACTGCGGCATCATGCATGATTAACTTGTTTGTCTCTCGCCGACTCAGAAACACCAAAACCCTTTCGCCTTTTCCCCTCAATTTTCTGCCTAATTTTGGCTTAGAAGCAGCAGCATACAAAAAAGCTACATGCTCAAACCAAAATATTTTTCAAATAAAAAAGACAATTTTTTTTGTTCTTTTTTTATGCATATAAAATAATTACTCCAGGGTGAAAAGTATCTTTATTACATATAAAGTTTTTAATGCTATCAGGCGAAAGCTATATATCTGTTTAATATCTCGCTCAAATTATTACATGCGCAAAACAAGCAAAATACACTGAAAATATTCAATGTAAAGTGTGTAACTGAAGCCCAAGTGGAACAACGTTGTGTCAGTGTGATTGTTGTGAGTGAGAAAGAGAAACCAACAGAAACGACGCATTACACGCAATTCGTTGTAAGGTTTATGTAACTCTGCGCCACTTGCCTTGCATGCATCCAAACACTGCCCCCCCTCGCTGCGCCTCTTATGAGTTTATATGTCCTCACTTCTCGTCCCCATGTGAATATGTTCAGTCAAACGTTAACTCCTTATTCTCCTGCCACGTGTCCCCATTGCACCATCACCGTTCGTAACCATAATCCAAACAAGATTAACAATACGACTAACCGGAGCAAGGATCACCTTATCTCCCTTGCCAAACGGGTTGGGAGAGTTTCGGATCCCGAGCTGAACTGCCCCACATTGAATGCTAGTTCAGGTTGCAGCACCCGTGCGATCCCTTAGGCTGTACCGCAAGTTGCGTAAGCACGCACACAGTGACACACGACTCATCCAGATTCTCTAAAAATGAAAAATCCATTGGGTCAAAGACGGTGCAGTTCAAGTTAGGATGAACTTGGGTGCATATTAGCATGGCCCATTTACTCTCTGGTATGAGGGGCTGGAATCCGGTGCTTGAGCACACACAATACACACTCTTTCATCCAAGGTGAGAAAACAGAAAAGTACTTTTTGGCCACTGGCTATGGTGGAACCCACTTCAAAAGGATCAGATCAGACAATCACTGTCCGATTAGATTTATATGGATGGATGAACTTTGATGAACCCATCATCGTAATGATAATCATGTGACATATATCTATGATGATCACGAATGAATGGGTCCCACGAACCTGGTGATGACCTTTGCCTTTGTGTTGATAGGACTAGACGATTACAAAAAATTGGTGTCGAGGTGTCAACGCCGTTAGATTTTTGGAAATAAAAAGTAGTTAGGTTGTCCCTGTCGAGAAAAACCTTCTACTACTCTGGCTTAATAAGTGTTTTACGCTTTCTGATATATACACAGGACACAGCTAATGCCCCGTTGGCCTCTAGCTTCTTCCGGGTGCTTTGTCTGACACTACTTCTCTCCTCTCGCCACTCACCAGTGTGTGTATTTCAACTTTCAATACAATAGCCTCAACTACCCTAAACACACCATAACAACATAAGAGTTATTTATATATACAAATATATATATATATATATATATATATATATATATATATTCTTAAGATAAGCATTAAACTAAAAATATATTTGTCTAATTTTTATTATTTTTGAAATAACTGCAAATATTATATGGTAATAACAAATCCCTTTCAGATTCAGACTGCAAAATCCAAACCAGCTTTTAAGAACCCAGGGAAGAATTATTCTATAGGTATGCATGTAACTCTGGAGAATGATGATATCAGATCGATCAACAGGTTCAACAGTCAACCCATGTGAATATCCTATATTCTGCAGCTAGGATCCCCTTTGCACTGGGGTTACCAAGAGGTTGCAATTAGCTGCAAAACATTGGTTTGTGGGTGCTGTGATGTGAGCCTGTGACTAGAATAATTAAATACAATGGAACATATAATGTGTAACCATTATTTTTTAATAAATAAACTCATTTCTGACAAGAATTTTGTGTTTATCACATTGTAGTGACGGTGATGATGTTAGTGGCCCCCACCCACACCCCCACTTTATCACAAGAGCCTATAAAACCACTGTTTGGTTGTTCTGGGCCCATGCCTCAATTGCCCAACTTCAGTATGCACCCCACCACGCAAACATCCATGATTTCCTCACATTGAAACGAGGGACAGTAGAAATATATTATAAGGTCGAAAAGCCATTCAGAGCATTATTTTTAATGGTTATGCATTACTATGCGTGCCAGAATAAATAATATAGAATATAAAGTATAAAAGAAGGACTATGATTGTGAAGGAAAAATTAGAGTTCTGGAGAGAATTGAGGGAGATAGGCTTCTATTTTGTTCAACCCATTCTCCTTTTTTAAATTTTATTTCTGTTTGCGACATATAGACATATTTAGACATCTCACATGGGAGAAGTCCACCACCATATCCCCAGTTACATCTCATACTCCCCGAGATCATAAAATATTATAAAATCTATATAGTACTCCTCTATGGTAATTTAAAGTTCTAGTTTGATAAAAGAAAAATTGAAAAACAAACTAAAATTAAAACTCATTTGCATGACTGTATAATATTGCATCAGATTATAAAGTCCTTCAACCAAAATCCCCACCACCATGCTCTCTTGTCAGCACTGCCACCAGCCCATCCATTGCTTCACATAACATTGCAGCTTGAAGAAGTATTCTCATCACTGAAATAGGTTGTATATGGGTCTGGAGGAGGATAGTTGTAAGGAGGAGGATACATGTAATTCACAGCCATAGGAGGTCGAGCATACATCATTGGCTGGTATCTATCATTCCCCATTGCACGTTGTTGATTCATCATGGCAGCCATGTATTGTTGTTGTTGTTGGTGGTAAGGATTTCCAGGCATCATATCCGGACCAGCTCCTTGGAAGTATCCACCAGCACCAGCACCAGCACTAGCACCGCCACCACCGCCATGAACGGCGGCTGCTGGGAGGCCTTGAACGGCTGGGATGTTACCCATTTGGTTCATTGGCATGTTCCCCATGGGTCCCATAGGCATGCTCATGTTAGCCATAGGGCCCACATTAGCCCCACCCATAAGAGGATGATGACCACCCATGTTTGGGATTCCACTGTTCATAGCTTGAACAGCTTCACCACCCATCCCATTACCCTTTTTACCCCCATTTCCATTTCCATTGCTATTTGCAATGACACCGCCACCGCCAGCACCAGCACCACCGCCATTCTTGTTTGCCGCACCATTGTTCCCATTTTTGCCACCATTATTTTTGTTACCTCCACCACCCTGATTCTGATTGTTTCCTCCATTACCACCACCACCACCTCCTCCTCCTTTCTTTCCTCCATTTCCACCACCCATGCCAGGCATTTGAACAGGAATAGCTCCTCCACCACCACCGCCGCCGCCACCTTTCTTCCCATTTCCTCCACCATTGCCACCGGCATTCCCACCCTTCTGAGCATTCATCAACTGTGGATGATTCCCATTCATTATCATTTGAGGGCCATTAGCCCCCATTGGGAGCTTCATCTTGTTTAGAGGAAGAGGGTGCTGTGGATCATCCATCTCGCCATCATCATCATCAGACTCATCATCATCCAAATCTTCATCGTCCAAATCATCGTCATCAACGTCATCATCAGACAAATCATCATCCTCAGGCAAATTGAACTTGCCTGCTTTCATGTTTGGGTTCTGGTTGGGCGGCCTGAATTGAGGAGGCATCTTCAGATCTTGGAACCCTTTCATCTGCTGAAGTTGTTGCATCTGCTGCTGAAGCCGTTGTTGTTGCATCTGCTGAAGCTGTTGTTGCTGTTGCTGTTGTTGCTGCTGCTGCTGCTGCTGTTGTTGCTGCTGCTGGGGATTCTGTCCTTGTTGACCACCTTTGGGCTGGTTATTTCCACCCTTCTGACCCTTGTTGTTTCCCCCACCTTTTCCATTGTCAATTTGCATGTTCTTGAACTGGTTGGCAATGTTGTTGTTCTGGTTGTTGTTGTTGTTAGCTTTAGGAGCAGCCCAAAGCTCTGCATGTTTCCCGGATTTTGAAAGCTTCTTGATGAGAATGTCGGGGTCCACATTCCCTGAAACCGTCACCTTCCCTTGTTCAGAATCTATCTCAGTGGTGAAAACCCCTGAAAAATGAACCAATAGATAAGCAAACAGACTACTGATTCAAGATATGTGTATCGATGTGAATAGATTTTGTTTTTTCTTCACATAATAAAAGATAGGAAAAAAACAAAGCTTTGTTTTTTTTTTCTTCAACGGGGCTAACATCACTTTTTTCGTCAAGCAGATGATTACATTGAATAGATACATACCATCAATCTTCTGCAAGATTTTCTTAACTTTGTGCTTGCATCCCTCACAGTGTATGTTCACTTTGAGAACACATTTCTGCATGCAAAAGCAAAATTCCAAAACCCAAAAGAGAGTAAAGAGAAATTTCATTATAAATAAGAAGAATTAAAAATGGGATAAAACTTCTTACTTTATCAGAAACGACACATATACAAGACCACCCAAAAAAAATAAATTTCAAGAAGTTAAAGCTTCAAAATAACAGTTAAAATGAGAAAGCTGAGGCTTTGACGAAAGACATGGAAGATGTGACAGAGTGTACCTGTATCTTCAAAAACTCTTCTTTACTCATGTTGTACACCCCAATGGAACAAAAGATTGTAACAAAGACGGAAAATGCAGAAAGGGTGTTAATAGATCTGAGAAAGAAATAGGGAAAAAAAAAAAACAAGAAAAAAAAAACTATAGAGCTTCTTCCAATCTTTGGAAGCACAGAACCAATGACATAAAAGAGAAGTGTCTCAGTCTCTGAGTGAGTGAGCAGAGAAAGCGAGTCTGAACAGCAAGGCTCAGACTCGGAGAGGAAAAGAGATAGAGAGGTTCAAAGATGGTGGGTAGTCATTTAAACCTCTGAGAGAGAGAGAGAGAGAGAGAGAGAGAGGCTGAAGCATAAGCAAGAGAAAAAGGATGCTACCACAGATTGAATAGTGCTACAAGCGTTTCTTAAATGGTAGTTCAATTTCCGCGTAAAAATTTTGTCTCTGTGTCTTTTTCTGTAGATATTTATTACTTTTATTAAAAGCCTCACTTATTTAATATTCAGAAATAAATATAAAATCTTCATATAATATTATTACATTGAATTTCATTAAAGACTTTCTTCATATAATATTATTACATTAAATTTCACCAAAGACTTTCTTCATATAATATTATTACATTAAATTTCATCAAAGACTTGCCATATGTAACTCCCCACAGATTAACCGTAGCCATGTGGACCATCTTGGCCTGGCTAAGATTCTAACTTTAACTCTCACTCATTTCACTCTCCTCTCTTTCTTTGGATTGAGGAAAGTTGGTGAGACTCGATTACTTCGCGTCCGTTTGTTTGGTTTTCCCGAAGAAAAATGATAAAATAAAATAAACAATTAGTCATTGTTTTCTTACGTGTTATTATTCAATAGGTAAAAAAGAATGTTTCTTGTTATCAAAAAAAAAAAAAAAAAAGAATGTTTCTTTTCATTCATTTAATTTTATTATGTAAAATTAAAATATATATAAATAAATGTCAATTTATTTTATTATTATTATTATTCAAATAGGATGCGAAATAAAGAAAAGCTAACATGCGTTACTCTCGTTTCATTTCATTCAAAAAATGTGATAAGAAGCAAAGAAAAGTTAAACGTCGGTTACTTTCTTTTCATTTCATTCATAAATATAATACGATATAAAAAAAGAAGTTAAAATGACAACACTATAATCAATTTTATTTTTTTTCCTAATCAACCCTTCCACCAAACAAAGTCTCACTGCAAGGAGATGCTCGAAAATCATTAAATAGCAAAGGCGGCAGTGTGAGTGAGATTTGACTTTAGGGTAAGTATTTAATTAAAGATTGTTATTAATATAGTTTGTAGAATAAAATATTAAATATCTTTATTTGGGTTTAATAACTTCATTCTATATTTTTAAGCTTTTATAATAATTATCAGTATCCCTCCAAAAAATATATTAATTATCAGTAAATGTGAGTGAACTCTGTCAGATTTTATCTTCCAAAACAGGGTGATGTAATTAATACTAACATTTATTGTGGGCAATGGCTAACTAGTAAATTTCCGTTTCAGAACTGGCTTTTGGTACATTGCATGAATGCCTCTCCAGTGAACATACAGCTCCATGATCATACCAAAAATTAGCCCGCGAAGTTTATTGGTTTTTATTTTATTTTAAAATGTATCCAAGATAATTAATGTAGCTATAATAATTTTAAAACTAGTTCATATATAATATTTGATCTCAATCAAAAACTAAGGATTGCATTTATTAAAAACATGATAAATTAAAGTTTAAAACTACATAAAAAAGATAAATTAAAAGCGAATATGTAATAAATAAAAAAATAAAAAATAAAAGATATATATTTCAATAATTAAATAACGCGTATTAGGAGAAAAAATATTTTAAGTGGATAACTATATACTTTCTTATGATTTTTGATATATTTTATAACCATGAAACTTTTAATGGATTTAAATATACTTAATTATTCATTGTGTATAGAGTCCTATATATGGACATAAATCTTATAAGAATGGTGTTGAAGAATGATAATAAAAATTTTACCTCTTTGTCTTCTCTACTTTTTTTTGTGCATGTTTGAATCTTCTTCTTTTTAGTTTCTTTTTTTTTATAAGTAGAAGTTAGGTTAAAAAAAGTTTTTACAAAAGCTCTTATAATAAAAAAAGAGTTTAATATTTCTACAGTAAATATAGATAAGTTATTTATATTTGCTCCCCAAATGATATCATTTTGTGTTAAAAATTAAAAAATTATAATGAAAAAGACCATTATAACCCGAAAATAAATTATAATTACAAAAATACCTTGATTTCTGTCTCAAAACGATGTCGTTTTGGGTTTAATGTAGATAAACTATCTACATCGACTATAGAAAAAGCGAACCCTAAAAAAATTATAATGAAGAAAAAAGTTAAAAGTCAAAAGCTCATATGAGGAGCTTTTTTTAATCTCTTATCAGTTTTTCTTGAAATGAGGTTTGAGCTTTTAAGTAACTTTTGAGTTAAAATTTTTATGTAATCACAAAATAGTTTTCGACTTTTTTCTTAAGTTCTTTTTTTTAGGTTTAACTTGAAAGTAGCTTTTCGATTAAAAAAGAAGATTAAACAAGCTCTTAGCTTTTAGCTAAAGTCTGAATACTTGTCATCTCTCCTAGTTCTCTCACTTATCTTGTAGCATATATCTCTCGCATCTCTCCCTTTTTATTTTATAACACATTAAGGTATTAGTTTTTCACACTTTTTTTTGACACCATAAATATTAATCTTTAAAATTTAATTTTTATCATATTCAAACTTCATAAAAACCTAAGTTTTGTTGCATTCATTCTCTGTAATTATTTTTATTGAAACACCTCGAGTTATTAAGAAGAAGAAACACCCTTTTCGTTTTTATGGATACGATGACCAAAATAGTAACTTGTGATCATAGTATTGTCACTTTCAAGAACAAGTATCATTGTACTATTTTTGCTTGACCATTACTTTTATTTGGTTGTTCTTCCTAAGTTTTCAACATATTGTGTCATTCATTTTTCTTATCTTTTTTACTTTGTACTTTTGTTTAAGTATGAAATAATTTGGCTTCAAATGAGTAATGCTCCATTACTCTTTAAAGTGAAAAATAAATACCTCGTAACTAATATTTCACATTTTTTTTTTATCTTTAATGCATGAATCTTAATATTTGTAAAACTTTTTTTCTTATCGTATTCAATCTCCATAATTGATTTTATCGAGATATTATGAAACTTTTTGAAAGTGTTAGGAATGTGGTTTCCATACTTAAAAATGGGGTAAATTGAGTATTATAGCTTTTCGCAAAAGTCCCCTTCTAGTTTCTAAATTAGTATTTCAAGCAGGCTTTGAAATATGAAAGGCTAATCAATACATTTAAATAACTCATATCATATAATATATCATAATTAGAGAACCTATGCTAGCATATACAAGATATCAAATAAACAATTAAAGTGTTAGAAATAAAGAGTTTAGAAAATTGCAAACAATATATATCTTGGTTCAGTCACCACCACTTGTGACCTACGTCCAGATTGAAGTCGCTCGATCAAATCTTTCACTATCTATCAAGTTTCATGTGTGCTTGACAAACCACTACAACATCTAAGCTTTAGGGTTCTTGAAAACCTTACAACCTCCAATTTTACGGGTACTTGGGAACCTTACAATTCTCTCCAACTTTACTTAAGTATTTGGTTACCCTTCATATACGATGAATCTCACAACCCTTTCAATTCCAGAATATAAGAAAGAAGTGTTTGGAAATAAATTTAAACTTTCTAAGTGTGGATATACAACTTGAAGCACTTTGGGTGTCGTGTATCGATTTTCAAGATATGAGCTCAAATATGTGTGATCTTTGAAAGATATGAAAAAATATGCAAATGATAGTGTAGAAGCTCTCAAAATATTCTTAAGATGTGTAAAAATGATACTCTATAAGTTCTAGAGTCGTTGGGAAAGTATATATAGTTATTTTTCCTAAAACTAGTCATTTATAACCGTTAGAATGCTTTTTGGACAGCAAATAATCGATTATTTTTTGTGGAGTAATCGATTACTTGATGAAGTGATCGATTTCTTTCATCTGCAACTTGACAGCAAGAACATTATTTTGTATTTTGGGTATGACTTGAGTTATTCTTATTGGATTGATATGATCTTGGTCTCTTTCGAAAGATAAAAGAGAGATATACAACTTCTATGACAACACAAGATCCAAATCCATCATTTTGGATACGAAACATTATCCTGAAGACAGCAATCAAATTATGCAGCAAATTTTAAGTTTAAATGTGTTCTAACTTGCTTCGAACCACTTTTTATGAAAGATTTTGACTTGATAAATATGTTTTGAAGTTATAAACATGTCAATAATATTTTTCAAGGGTTTTTCAAATCTCTTTCAAGTGTTTAAAGTTATGGATGTGCAATTTGAAAAACATATTTACTTTGAGAAAAAATTTGAGCTCGTGCAATGCTATCTACCATATACCTGATGAGTCTCCAATTTACTATGTATTAAGGGTCAATATGAGCATGAAATTAATTTAAAAGTAATTAAAAGTTATGAGAATTATAATTAAATTGTTATTTTATTCTCAATAATATTCTCATAAGATTTTTTATATTTTGCAGTAAATTTCAGCTCAATAAAGAGATAAACTGAAGAGATCAAGTATATTGTTTTGGATTTCTGAATCACTCAAGATCTTATCAAATCTTCGTTGAATATTTTTAAGGAAAGTTTTTCATTAAATAAATAGGGAAAGATTTGAAAGATTGAATCAAAAATATGATTAGAGATTCCAGTGAAGATTCCATTGAGGATATGATGGATAATTAAAAGACATGATTTCATCCCTATAAAAAAGCATCTCTTGAAAACTCAAAGAAACAATTGGACAGAGGCAACAATATTCAAAGGAGGAGACTCACGCTGGAGATCAAGATTCTGGAGAACTTGAAGATTGAAGACCATTGGTCTTTCTTCTTCATCTTTTTCTTTTCTTTCTTTGTTATGAATTCTTTTTACTATTTCTTTGTTTTGTTTAAGCCAGTTATGTCTGGCTAATTTTCTTTTGTAGTTGGGATCACAGATCCAATGTGAATC